GGGGAATTAGTAGTACTAAACACTAACAACAGGAAATACGATAACGATAACAGCTAACTAAATCACATGACGAAGTAACGATCTACTAAAGCATATGCAGGAACCTGAGTGCTACTAAAGTAACTGGTAAGAAAAGGAGAAACTTACAACTACCTACTAACCTCCTACCATAATCCTCGACCTCCATATCTTCCTATCAAGGTTCATGTCCTCAGTAAGCTGAATCCGCGCCATATCATGTCTATCTCTCCCCAATATTTCTTTGGCCTACCTCGACCTCTTCTCAAACCCACCATGGCCAGCCTCTCACATCTCCTGACAAGAGCATCAATGCTTCTCCTCTTTACGTGCCCGAACCATCTCAGTCTCGACTCCCGCATCTTGTCCTCCATGGGGGCCACGCCCACTTTAGAAGTTGAGAAAAATGTTTTTTTTTTAGACAAAAATTATGGAAAATTGTGTTTGAACATGAACTTCACTTGGAAAAAAGTTTGTGAAAGCTGAAAATTTGTGAGTGGAATCAGTATCTCAAGTGAAATACACCTTAAAACCACTCAACCAGTATTTAGCTTTTGGGGTTGAGTTAGGCCCAACATCCATTTCTTCTACACGGTATCAGAGCTAGACCCATCCCAATTCATTGTTTACCCGATGTTGGGCCCCCATATTACGTTGTCCACGCTGGGGTGGGGGTGGGGGGTTGTTGGCTACATCGGTGGGGATGAGGTTCTTTGGTCTCCTTACATGATCTCGGGCAACCCTCACGATTTTGGGATTGAGTTAGGCCCAAGGTTCATTTCTTTATCACATAATCATTTACTGAAATTTAGTAGCAAATACCCATGGTTAAAAACTAGTTTTTGCAAATACTGTAGTTCAGATTCATGCTCAAATGGGTTATTTGAGTTTTCCTGTTATGGAAGGAGTATTAATTGGAACAGACATCCAGATTAAAAAAAATTCAAAATTTGCTAGGGCAGAAAATCTAGCAAGGAAATCACCCACAATATCGTTTAGTCTTCTGCATACCAATAAGGCAATAACCACCCTATACGTTGATCATAATAATAAAATGGGACTTCTGATGTATGAACTAAGAAATCAGAATGATATCAGTTTGGCAAATGAAATTAATGCAGATCACTGATCAAAGGATTAATCCAAATCACTGTAACGTTCATTAGAGACAGAAAATAATACCTGTAAGAACTTCAACATTTGCTCCTCAATTGTGCCACTCATCGCCAGTGTTTCCACGTGAATAGGGCGTATAGCACCCATCCGATGAGCACGACTGATCACCTGTTCCTCCATACTGATAAGTATCACGAAAAGTCAAATAATATTATGTGTTAGAAAGCTGTCCAGACACATGGCAGGCTAGCTTCTTTATTCTCAGAGAACAATAGCAAAATAAAGTATAAGAGCAACGGGTTGAACTGTTTATTCAAAAAAAAGAGGTTGGTTGAACGCAAGCAGATTCATTAACATACTCAGAGTTTTTTGCCTCCCCCCCCCCCCCCCCCCCCCCCAGGGAGTGGGGGTGGGTAGGAGGTTCACTGTATGGAACTTTTTCCCCCCAAGAAAGGTGTGGATTTCCAGTTCAGTTACTAGCAGATTTTTCTTTAAAACAAAAAATTCTGCATCTGTATCACCATGGGCTTCTTCCAAAGGCATTACAAGGAAACAAACATGAAGTCTAGTCATAAGGTCAGAACAGGCTTAATGTATCTATTACCTTTTGTCCCATATTGGTTCCATTAAATAGACATGTGTTACAAAGCTCAGATCAAGACCTAAAGCTGCACTTCCATCCATTAATAGAGCCATGCAGTCAACATCATGCTGAAATGTCGCCAGTGCTTTCACCTGAATCATGCGAAAATAACTAAATTGCCACGGAAATACCTAATAAAGACAATCATGAAAATCATGAGTGGTTAAACTGCAATACCTTGTTGACAGAAGGCATTGGACTATACAAACTGGCAAAACGGATACCAGCAACGGCTAACTACCAGGAGAAGAAAATGGAATAATCAGACCATCACATAATAATAAACATACTAATCAGAAAATCTCACAATTAAGTAAGAGTTACCTGCTGTTCAATTACATGTATGTGCTCCAGAAACTGAGAAAATATGATAACTCTCTCTGGAATTAAATTGCAGAAATCATTTGATGACCCAACCAAATACCCTTGGGATGAAAACTTGCTGAAATTGCTTTTCCCATGAGATCCACTAACAGCCTCGACACTTCCGTCCTCGTTGGAGTTAATAATCATCCTATTAGCTTCCTGTATTTCTTTTAACCTTTCAACAAGGTAAGCAACTTTACTGCTCGATGTTGATTGCCAATCAGGATTCCAGTCATCCTTCAGAAGAATAATGATAACATTAGAAGTAGTTCGCTATGGGATAAATAAAAAAATTAACTACAAACTAGGCCACCAATCAGTATGTCCTAAAAACTAGACCTACCTGCTTATAAGATGGCTGTAACTCAATCAGATCCTTTGGAACAGGCCACTTTGGATTAGGATTTTCAGGACGCGTCAGTATTTCAGGACTTTGCATCTCATACAAGTTACCACAGCCAGGAATTGTACACTTCTCACTATTTAAAGAAACACAATCAAGGCATAATAGATGCTTACAAGGTGTAACCACAGGTAGACGACACCATGCTTGACACCTACATATATTATTTTAGAAAACGTCAAAATCATGATGCATTTAATCTAACGAAATCATGCCACAAATGATCTCAGAGGTTGTGACTTACCTCATGCAATTCCCACCATATAAAAGGTGATATCTTATCAGCGCATACTCCTGTGAAGTCGGATCCAGACCATCCTCAACTAAAATATCCATAGTTTCTTGAATATCATCACCTGCCTCTGTCACTCTGATATGTCCTGCTACACAGCACGAGAGTCTTACATTTCTGATGGTAGTACTTCGGAATTTCCACTGTTTAGGGTTCAGCAAACTCTCAACATGAGAAGGATCATTCCAGTCTGCCATTAGTATATTCCTCCGCACGGTTTCTACCAACTCATTGTAACTTCTCGCATGTTCTTCAGTAAAATGTAAGAATATCATTTTCTTGATGCATGGGGGAATATTCTGCAAATCTTTTTTCCTGGCANTTAAGAATATCATTTTCTTGATGCATGGGGGAATATTCTGCAAATCTTTTTTTCTGGCACTGATCATGCACCTGTGAAGTAATTGTAGCAAACGTGACCGGCCCTCTTCCATCTCTGCTTCAAATGGCCTAAGAATACCAGCTTCCCAGGCTTTCTGATTCTGTCCA